AGCCGGCTGATGTTTGGCCTCGGGTCTCTCTCCGTGCAGGTGGTGGAGAGCTGCGTGGCGGCGGCGGGGTACAGCGTGGGGGAGTTCGCGGCGCTGGTCTTCGCTGGAGCCCTGGGCTTTGCCGAAGGTGCCCGGGAAATGTGCTGAACCCCCTAGTAGGATCTCCCAGCCCCATGCTTTTTCCAAAGCATCGCCTGTTGCCACTGTTTCCCTCCCGCTTTTTTTTATTAGAGGATAAATTTTACTTTCTACTTCCACTGTTCACTTTAATATGTGTAATACGGCATTAAAAGCATTGACGTTCCATGAGAGTAAACAGCCACCCTTTCTTGCGCGCGGATGCAAGGCACCTTTAACGGTGTTTTCTCAGGGCTTATATTTACCGAGCATCTCTGTTTTTCTCCTTAGCGCTGTACGCGGTGAAAGTGCGTGCCGAAGCCATGCAAAAGGCGTCGGAAGCTGTCCCCAGTGGAATGTTATCAGTTATCGGTCGGCGAGAGGCAAATTACAAATTTGCCTGCTTGGAAGCCCGTAAACACTGTGAATCGCTGGGTATAGAAAACCCCATATGTGAAATTTCAAACTATTTGTTTCCAGACAGCAGAGTCATTGCAGGACACTTACAGGTATTGCTTCAGAATAACTATCCCTCTAGCTGAATTTAACATTTCATTTTTTAAAAACTTTTACTTTGCGCTTCTGTGCGGAAGTTATGTACGGCCTTAGTTTGTCCAAACAAAAGTATTTGATCTGTGGGGGTTTTTTCCCAGCGTGTGCTCAGTTGGGTAGGGAAAGGAATCCCTTTATCACGATAAGTCCGATGAGGTGGTTCTTGTGGGGTGACTGAGTAAACCTGTGTCGTGCAAGACTCTCACTTCTCTCTCTCTTTTATAGGCTTTGGAGTTTTTGCAGGAGAATGCCCGAAAATATTATTTTACACGTACAAAAATGCTTCCAGTCAGTGGGGCTTTTCATACCAGACTTATGGAACCAGCAGTAGAGCCACTGGCTGAAGTCCTAAAATCGATTGAGATTCAGAAACCACTGGTCTGTGTCTATTCCAATGTTGATGGCAAAAAGTACATGCACTCAAAGCACATTCAGAAGCTGTTAGTGAAGCAGGTGGTTTCACCTGTTATGTGGGAACAGACCATGCATTCTGTATACGAAAGAAAGCAAGGAACAGAATTTCCTTACACGTACGAAGTGGGGCCTGGGAAGCAACTAGGAGCCGTTCTCAAAAAATGTAATTTAAAGGCCTGGAAACAATATAACCATGTAGATGCTCTGGAAGATGAGGAAGCAGCAGACACCTAAGTAGCCTTTTGAGACAAATCCATGCAACTTGTTTTTTCTGCCTAATTTAAAAATAACTTTGTGCTCCCAAAAGAGGAAGTCTTAAACATTCATGGCTTCTCATGATGAAAAGAGCACCGTGCGCGTAATCGCAATGAACGTTTTCCTTCCCCGTGTGCCTCAGGTGTGGAAGGGGAGAGCAAGGTCTGGCTCTTCTTCTGCCTGTGTCAGAAATGCAAACCTGCCAATAAACACGCCAAATAGCCTTCTGTTTGGCCTCAATCCTGCGAGCAACTTCCCCTCTCTTTTTTTTTTTTTTTTTTTTTTTTTTTTTTTCTTTCTTTTTTAAAACTTTGGGGGGGGCGTGGATCCAAGTTAAAGTCAGTAGCTCTGCCTGTCTGGTGCAGAGGTCTTCTGCATGGATACGGGGGTAGAACCGGGCTGTTGGCTCTGGGTTGTGGAGGGCTCTGCGCTGGGCTCGAGGGTGCGTTTAGAGGAGCCATCCGGTTGGTACGGCTTTCGGTACGTTCATGTTCCTGTCCTCTAACTCGACTGAGTTGTGGGATGTTCGTCTGTGTAAAGTTCCTTTATTTTGTGTCCGTGTTGCTGGGTGGCAGCGGGGTAAGGCAGAAGATGTTATTAGGAACATGATTTTCTTAAGGTTAAACTATAAATAAACTATAAAGCTTTTCTTGGTATTTTTAATGCTGTGGGGTGCATCATTACTGGCCTGTAGTCCACACGTGGATGGAAGTAAATTTCCCTCCAGTTGTCCTGTGCCGCATTGGTTGTGCTAAGTTACACAAGAAATGTTTCACTGAAAGAAAACGCTTAACAAAATTCCCCACCTCCCCAGAGGTGCAGGGCTTTTGTCGTCCCTGACCGAGCCTCTGAGGCTGCGTAGGCTGAATTGGCCCTTTGGATGACTTTTCTTGATGGAGCAGAAAGCAGCAGCGCTGGAAACTTAGCGGAAAGATCTTTTCAGGGGCACCTTTGGACAGGGTGAACCCTGTGGCAACAGAGTGCCGGGGAGGAGGATTTGAATGCTGGTATTTCAGTTCTCTCTGTATTCTTGACTGTGTTTTGCCAGCTTGTACGTTTTCTGGCAGCAGGAGATGAGCTGGAGAAGAGCGGGTTGCCCCGAGCCCTCCTGGAAAGAGCTTCCCTGTTCCTTTGTCGGCACCGACTGTTGTTGGATGGGTGAGGGCTGGTGGCAGGTCCCTGGGCTGGCTGGCTGCCGGGGGAGCACCCGCTGCCTCCAGCACCTTCCTCAGTGCCTGCAATGCTCGAGGTGACGCTCAAAACAGCTTTAGCACCAAATCCATGGTTTTGGATTCTGTAACCAACCTTTGGCTTATTAAAATAGGTCCGGTCGTGTTACAACATCGTGCTGCCTGTGCAAGGTCCCTGCAGGGTGCGCAGAAAACGTATGCTTGCTTGCTGTGCTCTTTGTCTGTAAGGGGTACCGAAAGCTTTAGGAAATACAAGAGAACAGCATTCGCTAGGGGATCATGTACAAACAAGCGGGGAAAGGTTACGTGGTCCCATATTATAGTGTGACCAGAAGCTTCAACTGAACTCTGCCTTTTTTTCTTTTCTATTTTTGGTATTTTAATGGTATATTTAACAGATATATAGGAAAAATTTAGCATATATTACTTAAATCAAATGACCATGCACATCTTCAATAATGTATTATAAAATGCAGAGTAACTTCCAATTACAGTATTAACCATTTCGTAATGTCACATTTCTGAAAGGGAAAGTGAATTAAAAATACTGGCCTCAATTATGATTGCCTAGTGGAGCGTATCATTAAACGGTTCTTTTGCGAACTGAAATTGGCAGCTGAGCCTACCTTTACAGTACAAATTCCACTTCTGGCATGTGTAAACATTAACGATTAGTAAAACACAGAAGAATTTGTCAACTTAATCATTGGACTATCAGAGGCTGCCAGTTAAGGGTTGGGATCACTGTAAAGAAAATTATTTCAGTGAAGGCTCCTATGTTACAAGTAAGGTGTCACTTATTCAATAAAGTGTACCAAAGTCATCACTAGATGGTTAGAATGATGTGCTGTGTTAGAAGTTTCTGACATCTTGTAAGACCAAACGCAACGTTAGTGACTTTGAAACCAGCTTTTATGATAGTTGGAACCGAACATGGCATGTTGGTGGCACTAATTTTGGTTTTAATATAGTGCTTTATAGTTTCTGGACTTCTTTTTTTAATTATTCAAGTTTTTTTGTGGAAATTTTGGAGACCTGTTTTCTATTTGTATTGTTCTTACCATAATTTTTTTTTTCCCCCCCCCTCACTTCACTTTGTTGCACACTTTGCCTGGAGTAAAAGCTGTTTGGGAGAAACATGCTAAACATCTCTGTCTGCAAATGCCGAATATCAGATAACCTTTGCACCTTCATCAGATGCAGAGTGCTGAAGGGATGTCTGTATCCTAAGAGCATCGCGCTCGTGTGGGCCCTGTTTAATTAGTGGCAAGAAGGAACCGTAGCCACTGCGTGGGTGTTTGCTTTTCTTCTGTGCAGCGTTTGAGCCTAAGCCGAGGTAGCAAGCCGTGAGCTGCTGAGGCTGCTCCTCAGTGAGCCTCGTGTCTTCAAAACCAGAAGCCAAGCGGTATTGTACTCTTGCGTTGATGTTGCAGTTTATATCAGCTAAAAAAATGTGATGGAGGACTTCATACCTCTGTACCGAAAGCGTCCAGGGCTTGCTTTTGGGTAGTGCCTGGCAGCACGATGTCACGTTGGTGTATGGCTGTAGTGAGCAGAAGGGTGTCTCGTGTTGTAAAACTCGTCTGTGGCTAGGTGGAGAGCGGCATGCGGCATAATTAAGAATCCTGGATCTTAGCACTGTTATCCACATTTCTTTTATGCGCTTACTCATCTATCCCTTCTGCTTCTGGAAACTGAACATTTAAGACATGCAGTCGGCACGGTTCCTTCACCTAGGAACAAGCAGAAACAGGATGTGGGGAAAAAAAAAAATCAAGTGCCATAAACTCTGTCACATGAGGAAGTGTGCAGCAAAAAAAAAAAAAGATAATTAAATTTGGGTCTCCCGAGTCACAGTGCAGAGCCTTAACTAAGAGGCTCTTTGCTCAGCTCTGCAGGTGAGAGGGGAGCCTGGTAATTACTGCTCGCTGTAGTACTCCAGTTTGTGCTAATTCTTGTTGCAGATGCTGTTCATTTTGTGTTTCACTTGCTTCGTTGGTGTGACTGCGTTTTATATTCCTTGAGACTGTGTTTTGCTCCATACGTGCTGGATGCTGAATTTCCCCCTCTCGTGATTCAAAATATGACATTGATTGCAAGAGCGTGAAAAAGCAGAGTCATCCCACGCAGCTCTCAGATGGACTAGGCAGTGCGGCAGTCTCCGTTTATCGTTGCTCCCATGTGCATAAAGATTATTTATCTAGAAATAACTGAAATTATTTTGTGGTGTTAAAGTGATTCTGCCAAATTTTTGGCAGTTGGTACTTTTGTTACATTGCATGCATAGATTATTTATTAGACTCTTAAGGGGAATTTTTACCCTTCACTAAGTAATAACTTGAACATATTTTCTATCACACTGCTGTTACGGAGTTAAACAGAGCAGTCAATTCACTGATGAAACTTCGGTCTGTTTTTCGGTTATATGGCCAATTCAGCTGGCCAGCTTCTGGCCTGAGTGAGACTAAGGTTCCAGATGCGCTAATTGTGCTTTTCTGGGAAAAACTTGCATACCTGCTGCTGAAGGGCAAATTGGCTCGAGGGCATTTTGAAAAAAGGTGACACTAGAATACGTGCTGCTACTTGAACTTTCAGGGTATGCTGGAGCCGTCACCCTCTAGGTACCTTCTTTGTGTACCTTCTTCTTGCTCTGCATTTCAAGTCAAAGATATGTCAAAGTCAAATGCTTGAATTAAATAATTCTAGTTGAATTATTTCTTTCTCTTCTCCCCCCCCCCAAAAAATTTTTGAGATGGGCAGTTAGGATCGTAATGGGATCTGGGCACCATTCACGAAAGAGAGGAAACACATTCCTCAACCTGCTTAAACTTGACTGGGTTTGGCATTTGTCTCCATTGAAGAAAAGAGTGGTTCAAATTCCTTGTCTGATTTAAAGCAGGGACTTGAACTTGAAACTCCAACCTCTCAGATGAGTGCTTAAACCACTAGGCCATTAAATATTGTATTTTCCTGTTTCAAAAGTGCGCTAGCCCTCATAGTCGCTTGACTAGGCAGGAAGCAGGTATCCCCTCTGCTGAGGGGAATACCCAAACCACAGAGATGCGCTTTCATTTTCTCTCGCTGAGAGAGAGTCTGTAACTATATACAGTGAAAAGCAGCTTCAACAGCAAAGGGTAGGGAAGATGCACCCAGATACAGAGAATAACTTGGTACGGTTGGGGCATGTTGTCAAGAGAGAAGAAACCCAACTGTGTCCGAAGAGCTGCCCGTGGAGTATGCAAGGGTGACACCGACACCATCTCCATCTTGTAAGCTGTCCTCAAGTTTCCCTTAGGCATTTATTTCCCCCTAAGCACATGCCTTCCAAAAAGACATGTCATCAAAAAAACCCTTCTCCAAATTCAATCAAATTCTTGTTTTTTTCTGGGCAACTCGAAGTTTTACTTTGAAAAGAGGCAGAGGAATATAATCTATTAGTAGATTTCTGAAAAATTCTGGAAAAGTAATAGCTTGGCTTGAGTGACTCTCAAGTACCAACCCAACCAACTTGCTTGCTAGCTCATCCTAGCCCCTCTTTCTCCAACAAACTATCATTTCATATGCTAATTTTACTACATAAAAATCAAATAAAGCCTGTCCTCTAGTCTTAGATAACAGTACCTTGTCTTGTACATTTTCTTATTAATGTGTGATAGCACAATCTTGGAAAATAAAGTAGATAACACTGCAAAACATTTGAAGCAACAGTTTAATTTTAGAAAAGTATCATGGTTTTAATCTTTACTATTGCTTTTACAGTGTTAAAATTTAAAGGATGTCCAGCATGCCTTCAGTCTTCCCCACATCCAGAATCTCTTTAAGAAACTTGTTTATATGTGATAGACACTTTATATTGCATTAAAACAAACACAAAAAAGACAGACTTTCTAATCACCTGGAGTCACATTTCAAAACTAGCAAGTCAGGCAGTTATCCAGCAACAACCTCCTTATTTTAAACATTTTTCTTTTTTAAAAAAGGTACGAAACAGCAGTGACCCAGCACTAGCCTAGGTTTTAAATATAAAAGAGATTTTTATCAGTGTAAATTTGAA